TGGAAAGCAAATTCCTTCCCCTTCGTTTTTAGCATTTTATTAATTAGTGTCTTACGGGTTAAATTTTTAAAAATACCCCTTTGAATAGTTTGTCCCATTTATTTTGTCCATTTCTTAATAATAACCACAAGCTCATATACTTGCCTTCCCAAAGGATCACTCAGCAGTATGGACTTGATTAAACCCAGAGATTTCGAACAATCAAGACTTTTTACAGTATTATGCATGATTAATCAGTATTTCACTTTTACTACCCTTGCCTTTACAGTAGTGATAATGATTAAAATTTGTAACAGAATTAGAGACTTGACTATGTTTCGGGAACTCTGCCTCATATTTTACTGACATGGAAGGCAGCTATGCTCACCACTATACCACCAACGCCAACCATATTTTACTGACATGAATCACATAATCCTCACAATAGTCCTAACAAGTAATTATGAGCACTTAGCTCCATTTTATAGAGGAAGAAACTGATCCTCAGAGAGGCTACTTCACTTGAGCAAAGTAAGAAAGTATTAGAACCCAACAGAGTCTGACTCCAGAGTCTGGTACATTCATCACCAGACTACACCATATATGCTAATAATTTATTTCCAAATTATTAATCAAAAACAAGGCAAGTGTGATCCTTAAGTAAATTCATTCAGCATATGCAGCACACTGGCATGGAAATCATCCACACATTCATTTATACATTCATTCACTAACTCCTAAACAGACACTGTTTTAGGTACTTGGAACACACAGAGCACAAAAGAGTCAAACTATGGGCTTTTCTGGAAGAGATAATTAATCAACAAGTAAATTATAACAAATAAAAGGAAGGATCCTCATTGGCAAGAAGGGGTTCTGAAGGGTTGGGAGTACATGTGTGTTCTATTGTAGGTGGGAGGCAGCAGGCAGGCCTCCTTGTCAGTACAAATTATATGAGAGTTCAGACAAGAGCGCTGGGTTTTTACATAAGGAGGTCACTGTGACCTTGACAAGAACAGCTTCAGGGGAGTGATAGGTCAGAGCCCTGATGTAGTGGCATCAAGAGATAATGGAAAAAGAGAGCTTGTAGAGGGCAAGTATGAACAAAGTTTTCAAGGAATTTTGTTCTAATGGGAAAAGGAGAAATGAGACCATAATCGGAAGGATACAAGGAGACAGAAGAGGGATTCTCCTCTCTTTCTTTTGAGGTAGGAGTTTAACAGTATGAATGTGTGTGGATGGCAATAATGCAGTTGAGAGGGAGATTCTGATGATGAAGGAAAAGAGAATTAATTGGGCAGTAACTCTGATGAAGTGAGAAAGGGTGGCATCAGTGAAGAAATGGAGGAGGTGGACAAAGGTAGAGCATGAGCAATTAATTCACCATAGTAACAGGAGGAAAGCTAAGATATGTGGCCACAGCTGAAGGAAGGAGGTCAGATGTGACACATACAATAGAAATGACAACATGTAAAAAAAAATTTGGATTTCTTAGAGGCCCATGTTCTGACTTCTTTAGCTTTGTTGAATATCTAGTTTCTGTAAAATCGTGGAGAGCAGTATCTATCTTATAAGATTGTGAAGATTCAAAGTTACCTATTTTAGGGCTTTACCGAGTGACTAGACCAGGGGTGGGCAAACTTTTTGACTCGAGGGCCACATGGGTTCTTAAACCGGACCGGAGGGCCGGAACAAAAGCATGGATGGAGTGTTTGTGTGAACTAATATAAATTCAAAGTAAACATCATTACATAAAAGGGAACGGACTTTTTTTTTTTAGTTTTTTT